GAACTAGCTGCAGTGAACTGCTCGTGGTGGATGCGGGTGCGGGTGCGGAGGGCCAGGGGGCCAGGGGCTAGGCACAAGAACATACATTTTTATCCTACTATTATATTATATCCAACATGATTTAAAGAAGTAGTGTGATTTTTTTTTTAAATCTGTATACAATTTTCCGAGTTTTATAAAAAAAAACTGTTAGTTATAAACTATTATAATTAAATATTAACCTTAAACTAGGTACGTATTTATAATGTTTAATTCTATGCATGGCCTGATAGTAGAAATATAAGTATAAATTTGTTATAACTAAGAATTCTTTTTCAATTTAAGTTCAAATGATTTTTCTACCCTATTTTTTATGTTTCGAAATTTATATCCTACAGAAAAACTTGAAAATTCATTGCAAACATTTCAAATCAATCACTAGATTTTCCACTTTAGTCATAACATTTGATGAATATTTTATAATTATAAAATGTATTCTACACTTATTAATTATAATCGGGTATTATCTGTCTATTATAGAGCAAAGTAAGTTGATTTAATTTTAAATAATTATATAATATTATACACGGTTTATAATATGCATCTTAAATATCTTTAAAGTTTAATCTTATGTTTATATAATACTAGCTGAAATATATATGACTTAACCTTTGTTAAATGTGTTATCTAATATTCAGTGTATGGTGTTCAAAACTTATCTTAACTTTTCCATTACCTGGAATAAAAATTATGATTTGCAAAAGTATAATATTATCAGATAGGCAATCTACTTGCGGTTGATCGCGGACCTCTGGCCATTACAAAACATTGAAGAATACTGTAACGCATCGTACTAACGATGAATTCACTTATCCGTGTTAATTTATCATTTCGAGCTCTTAATATAATATCTCTTTTAAAAAATTCTTGTCCGATTGAGTCATATTACTACTTCATCAGTTTGAGGAGTATTTTGTTTTTGGTTTTCTGTCAGGCCTATAATAACAATCTTAAATTCAGCTGCACGGCATCAAAACGATTGCACTCTTGAAACTACGAATGTACGAATTATTTCTATGCAACATGCATTGCAAATCATATATTATTTTTTTATCTGTATTGGGAGCAATAGACAAACGCCTTTTCACTTCATTCTCTTAGTCACCCATAAAATATATCTGTAAAAACTTTGGTTCTTCTGTACCAGTGGGTAATAAAGAACCAGCCAAATGATAAACTTTCCCTTGAACTTTAAATGTTGGCATAAAATGTCCATGTTTTATTTCCGTTGCACCAAACGATGTCATTTGGAAAGCCGAATTATAAACATGTATCATGTCAAAAAAATGCTTTGAATTTTCATGAGAAAAATTTAAGAGACTTTTTAATGGTTCGGGTGGATCAGCAATGTCTTCCAAAACAACTTTTCCTCCTGAACAGCAAAAACCTGTCGGCTCTTTGGACCATTTCAATGCACGACAATAATTACATATTAAATTCATATTTCCTATGATAGAGTGAGAATCATTTTTATAATCTATTTGTTTTTTTCATAAGTAAATGCTGAAATTTCACGACGTGGAACACGTGGTTCAACTAAATTTTCGTTGATAGGAAAATCGTGAATATTGTTAATAATATCGACTATATCACTATCATTAAATGCAAAGTTGTTATTAATATTGGTATCGTTAATACTACTAACAGTACTATACAACACTATTGTTAATAGATATATTATTTAAATAATCATCATTATATTTTATTAATACAGTTGAACTCGATTATCCGAACCTCCGTTATACGAACCCTCTATTATCCAAACTATAATTAGCGTATCCGAACGTTCTGTTATCCGAACATGAAAAGTAGGAGTACACCAAAAGTACCAACATCTACTGAAGCATTTCCTACATTTGAAACTGGTCTTAAGTGGTTTGAAAAACAGGCCGAATGTTGTCCAGGTATTTTCCTTTTCATTGTGATAAATTCTAACGCATGTCAGAATATATCGGTCAGTCGGTTCGTCCTTAGTAGCCGTCAGCCGCGGAATGGATTCACCACATACAACACTCGTTAATTTTTAATAATTGAATAATATGAACAATAACAAATAATCGATGTATTCTATTATAATAAATGGTTTGTTTGAAACGATTATAATTCGTGGCAACGATTTATAAACAAAAATTTCGATCTGAATTTTATGAAAATTTATGATAATTGATAACTCCTTTGTTTATTAAGTTAGAAATTCGATCAAATGCATAAACCTTCTACGCAATGAGCTCTTTAATTTAAAAAAAAAAAAAATCATAACGACCGCTTCAGCAGTTGCGGAGAACATATCACTCCAAGGTTTTCATTTTCACATTTCTATATGAAGATTCAACATAATTTAGATAAGAAGTGTGATTTTAGTTTTTAAATATATGCATTCTATTTTCCGAGTTTTTCAAAAAAAATAAGCTTTTAGTTATAATCTATTATAGTAAAATATTATCCTTTAACTACGTGTTTGTAATGTTTAATTCTATACATAGCCTGATATTAGACATATAAGTAAGAATATGTTATAACTAAGAACTATATTTGAAATAAGGTTCTAATGATTTTTCTAGGTACCCTAATTATTATGTTTCGAAATTTATATTCTACCGAAAACATTGAAAATTCATTGGAAACATTTCAAATCAATCACTAGATTTTTCACTTTAGTCATAACATTTGATGAATATTTTATAATAATAAAATATATAATAAACTTATTTATTATTATCGGGTATTCTCTGTCTAATATAGTATTACGTAAGTTGATTTAATTTTAAATGATTATTTAATTGTACACGATTTATATTAAAATGCATCTTAAAAATACCTATTTAAAGTTTAATTATATGTTTAAATTATACCCAACATGATTTAAATAATTAGTATGATTTTTTTTTTTTTTTTTTAAATCTGTATTCAATTTTCCGAGTTTCTATAAAAAAAAACCTGTTATTTATAATCTATTATAATAAATATTAAACTACGTGTTTGTAATGTTTAATTCTATACATAGCCTGATATTAGACATATAAGTAAGAATATGTTATAACTAAGAACTATATTTCAAACAAGGTAGTAGGATAAAAAGACAGTTCAGAAACCACCGCCCGCATATAAGCATACCATACATTGCTAGAGACCCACAGGAAATCGAGCGCTCTCATTGGCYGTRTTACATTGTGATAACATTCTACAATTATCAATATTCAATGTTTTAAAATTATATGTTTTTTTTGAAACTATATTAATTTGAATATTTTTGATTTATTTAATAAAAAAATAAAAAATATGATTTAAATAAGCATCATTTAAACATGAAATTATCAAAAAAGACAATGTTAATATTATTTTAAGGTGTGATGCTAAATCTATGGAGAATATTAATGTGTGGGTTGCTGAGTTAGGTAAACTTAATTATATACATTGGATCGTTCGTTCAAATTTTCCAAATGGGCAGCGAATTATGTGTTCGTAAGTATTTTAAATTGAATTTACTGAATAATAAAGTATTTATGTCATAGGAATCCTAATTAAAATAAATTGAACATTTTTCAGTAAAAAATATCCATTTATTAAGGTGTTCGCATTATATAATTTAGCTT